TTGTTTGTTCATATGACAGTATCATGGATCAGCTTGATGATGCAAACAAACGATGCAAGAACACAAAAAAATTGGAAATTATTTCAAAACCCAAAGGACAATGCAGAAGTTTCCATAAAGAGAGTGCTTGAGGATTTCACTGTGCCAAGTTTAGTGACTGAGAAACAATTGCGTTCTTCAGCGCAAGGGAAGGTAGAATAAAAATGGAAAAGTGCATCATTAACTATAAAAAGCAGACTTATGCAAAGATATGCAACCAAAGACCTCCAATAAGACCAACAAGCCGATTCCAATGAAACATTATGAGTAAACACAAGGTTGAAGTGGGACAAAGGTCAACCAAGGGGTACAGTGTTTTTCAAAAGCATTTAAACCGTTCGAAGCTCTCCATGCTTTGCCATAATACAGCCAGATCCCTCAAAAAGTGTTACATTAAGATTTTATGTGACAGAAAGAAATCTAAGGTGGAAGGAAATCAAATCCAAAAAGGATGGGGTTGCACATCTATTTACCCCCAGTTTCTTTTAATACCCCTAAAATAATTAATGTACAGCCAATTACACACAGCAAATGTTGGAGAAGTTGCTCTGGTCGAAAAAGGCAGAAGTTTTTGACCCATGTAGTGAATGAACTCCACTTTAAAAGACATCTTCACCCCTAAACATGGAGGTGTTGTGCTAAGGGGACGCGTGTTTTCAGCTCGACCCAGGAAGTTGGTTGAAGTTGGGAAGATGAAAGTAGCCAAAGACCAGATGACACTGGACACTTAGAGGTTGTGATGGACTTGAGACGAGAGGAGAGGTTCACTTTCGATCAGGAGAAGGCAAACTATACAAGCAGAGCCACAATGGAACAGTTTAGAACAAAACATGTTCCTGAATCTAATAGAGATGAAATCTCTTACCTTGAAATCTCCCCATTTAATCTAAGGTTGACCTATTATGAAAAGAATTGTCAAAAATGTAGGTCTCCAGATCTGAAAAGTATGAACCGCCGAGTATGAACCACTGCATTCATGTCCAGCTGCTTCCATCTGGCCTTTATTACCTTCTCTACTCCCTCAACCAGCAGCAGGAGTCCCTCGGCTGTACAAATTGAACACAATAAAAGCACATTAATGTTATAAATATCAAACTATAACTCTGTAGATCATTAAAGTAGAAGCTTCTCTGCTAAAAGATTCTACCAAATTAAAAGAGCGGTACGGAGTCGACCTTTTTTGCAACACGCAATCCCATTTAGCTCGTCTCCGTAACGTGATGCTCATTGTAGTTGGTTTGAGGCATGAAAAGGCATGCGCTTCCAGGGAGCCACCATGACGTACGGTGTTGGGAGCTAAGCCACCTTGGAGTTTATCTTGGAATCTTTTGGCAGCAAAATGAGTTTTGTGGTTTAGTTCACAGGTGCCAAAAAGCTGCCAGAGCTGAGTGATGGCAGTAATAATCCCTCTTACAACTGTACAAGCAAAACAACTACACACCCTCACACACAGGATTTCACTGCATGCACAGACAGACTGATATGCGTCACTGCTGACCTCACAGATAGTACGCACATCTGACAAGGCCTGGCTTTCCCTTCGCCGTCCCCCGACGGTTCGTCGTCTGTAGCGCGAAAACACGAGGAGGCGTGATGTCTGGGTAGTTCTGGGAAGGATAGGAGCTCTGCATATGAACAGGCCCCCATGGAATATATGTCTACTCAAAAATTGTTTTGAGTAGTAACCATAACGTAATAACCATAAATCCCAACCACAATAACAACCCTCCCAATGATGTCCCCCTAATCCTGCAAATGCACCCCAATCCTCAACTATTCTTTGTTTGATCCCAGTAAAGCTGGTTTAGAGGGTGGAGGAGGGCGCTGGTGCAAAACGCCATAGAAGAATTATGACTGAGGTGCAAACAGTGCAGCACGAAGCAAAAACTCAAAAATATGTCTTCCTTCCTGTACCTAAAAACACATCAGTCTTAAAATCTCTCTGGCTTAAACACGGTTGCGATCTGCGGGAACGACCTGTTTGTTTTGCTTTAAGCCGTTCTCAGACTCACTGAGAAAATGGCTGCTGACCTGAATCGGACAATGCTTCGCTTTCAGCCCTGAGCTCCAATTTACAATCGGCAAATCCAGCATGCACAATTTCCACCAGGTTAAACTGACAACACAACGTAAATGTGAAGATGGCTATCAATACAGACTTGATAATTTGTGAAAATAACGATAAAAAGTAATTAAGATTTTTTAGATAACTGCATGTCTGTGACTGCGTGGGACAGCATTTGTCTTAAAAAATAACTGTACACAATAACTGCATTTAACCATATTTTTGAATTTACTAATATTTATTATGTTCTTGTGGAACAAACTAGAGAAAATGGGAAAAAATATAATTCCTGATCATTCTGTCAGGTGTGTGTTTGTATTTACCATCTATAACTGAAATTTAACATAACAATAAATCAAAGTTCTTCTAAGAAACGATAAATGATACGATAAATGCCCACCATTAGGAGAAAGAATTTAAAACAAAATATGTTGAGATATTTCTGCAGGTTACTTTAGAGTATGAGGCTTCAGCAGCGTATAAAAAGGCTGAAGAGCAAATGTTCAGGATGCTTTTTTTTTGTCCTTTTTGAATCTTTCATTAACTTTCCATACTGGCATACACAACATGTTTTGCTGTATGTGTGGATTCTCTCCAATTTCCTCAGTCCACAAACATCATCTTTAGCTTTCCAGCTTCTCAACATTTTACCACTTTCCCATAGGTGTGAGTTTATTAAAGTCGTTTTTCCTCTTTGCATTACTTAAAATAAAATAAAGTAGCAAAATTATTAAGGTTAATGTTTAAAAATTACTCAGCAATGTGCAGTGCATATTAAATAGCAAATAGCTGGAATCATTAACTAGCTGATATATTGTTGTACTTTGATTTGTAAGATGGCAAAGACACATTATACGTCTGGAAAACAACAAAATCTAGCTTGTGTTTCATTTTGCTTAAATCTCCATGTAAAAATTCAATATTATATTAAATAAACATACCAAACATATCTCAGGACCAGTCAGAATAATTGCTGCCTTCCCGTTTTAAATTAAAGCATTTCCACCATGTTGGGCTTGTTAAAACTGTTTTTGTATAAATACTGAGACCACATGAAAGCGTTCCTGTCTGATACCGGTGCACGCCTATATGCAAGTCCCTTTTATTCAGCATGTAGCTGCTGCAGCTGCAGAAGGCGATCCGATTGAGCCTGCAGCGACGAGGACAGCTGCAGCGTACAGCGGCTCAACTCCACTGAAGTGGAGTACACACAGGGAACATTCAGCTCATTTACACTCATCCAGAAAACGACATGTTCAGCTCCGTTTCTGTGCTCCTTTGTTCAGAGCGGGGATTGTGTTAAAGGCAAAGGAGTGGTCAAAAAGGGGCAGTGTGTGCTTGGAAACAAGTAGAAAACCAATAGGATCAATATCATTATATTCAATAAAAAAAAAAACAAACGATGTTGTAGCTCATGTTATAGTAGATGCTGATGCCATTTATTCATCCACACACAAACGTGTCGTTTACCATTTATTGTGATCAATTTCTTATGAGAATTTTGATTCATCGTTGTCATTATAAGTTACAATTAATTTCTTTAAAAAAAATAAAATAAATCTATTTGTATTGCTGGGATTGTTAGTTTTACCGTTTTCTCCTGTGTTTGTTCAATGAGATCATCAATAAGTTAGTTTTTCAAGAGCAGTATTTGTGTTTGTGAGGCTGTGATTGCTGAGAGTACAGTCACAGCTACTTACCTAAAAAGTAGTAATACTTCTTATTCCTTTAATTGTCATCATAATAGTATCACAAAAATTTTGATGAAACTTTTAATGTCTGTATTGCCCATCCCTAAATTACACACACTCACAAATTCCTCAGAGTTCTTGGGTCGTTTTGGTCCATTTTATAAATACAACAGCGAGCAATGAATGTATAAAATACATCTATGGTCTATAGTCAGAGTTTAAGAAAGGAAGGAAGGAATGATGGATTTACAGATGAATGAACAAAAACATGGACCTGAAAGAATGAAAAACCGATGTAGTGGATGGGCTGACTGATGGATGGACGACCAAACGGAAGAACAACTATTCTGCCCAGGGTCTCCAACTCCAGTCCTCAAGAGCCAACAGCCTCCAGCTTTTAAAAGATTCAACACACTTGAATGACTTGTTCAAAGGTCTCTGCATGACCGAAGTACTGAGGCCATTTGATCGTTTATTGGTTTCCATTTGCATCTGCAGGACTGGAGTCAGATACTCCTGTACTAAACAATGTGAAAGAAAATACACCTTGACAAAAAAGCTTCACATTCCATGAAGCTCAAGAATTGCACAAACTCCAAAACCAAAGAACAGTCAGCACATTTGGAGAATATGTGGGAAGGTATAAAACGTCACTATTTCGCCTTTTCACTGAGTTCAATCTGCAGAACATCATCAATGAGCTCATGGTCCCACTTTCAACAGCTCAGCGGTCAGCATACACTGGGCCCAGCCCTGGGTGGGGTTGCGGAGTGCACACTAGTGGACTAAAGATGACAATGACAACCAGGGTAATAAAAACATTAACTTGTTACTCATGAATCTACAAGTTGTAATCAATTATTGCAGCGTGAAAAAGATCCAGGAGTTTACACTAACAACAATGGCTGCCCTAGTCAGCTGTGACGAAGGGAGGGGTGATGCTACTGGATTATTTTTAAAAAAACACCTCATTTACAAAAGGAACCAAGTGTAGACGCTAGAATCACATGAAACTCCCTCATGAACAAACACCAAAATAGCACAAATGCCTGTTCTCACTGCTGCCGAGGTGGATTTTCAAAAACAACACAAAGTCAAAGTCAACTCTATATAACTTCAGGTCAAATTTCACCAAAAACATGTTTCAAACTTATTGAAATTTGTATTTGTCACCGTCACAGATGAGGCAGACGTGAGAGGTTTACCTCTTCATCATCACTGGGCAAGCTCTGGTAGTCTGACTCTGCCGTCTCCTGCAGCCTCTGGTACTCTGCCGTCTCTCCCATCGCTGGGACCGCGAGTCCTCAAAGACCTCAAATAGCAACCGCTCTAGTCAGCAAGCAACCCACGCACTCGGCCCGGTCAGTCGGCTTGCATCAAGATTCATGCTGTCACTGCTGTCACTGGGAAGGACAAGCACAGCACAGCGTACACAGCATTATTCCAGATCGCTTGGCACAATCACAGTATGACTTCTATCTGAACTACGCTCGCTGCTAAATCCCGGCCGCTTGCGATGCCAACGTGATTCCCTCTGACATTTGGGCTGAGTCAGCGTTTGTCGTGGAAAAGAAAAAAAAATGGGCTGGACAATGAAAACCTCAGTTTCAGACGTTTGCAACAGGGCGTCCTTCGCTGACCAACCCAGCAGAGTGGAGAGTGCAGGTGCAGATTGCTGAAGGAATGTGTTCCTCTGGAAAACGGTGGCAACGTTCCACGTAAGAAGACGACTAAAGTGTCAGTTTTTTGCAGAATTCAAGAAGGCACTCAAGAACGGATCCTTTTTGCATTCTGTAGCTTTTAAGAATTCACAGGAAATTCCTCTTCAGGAATTGAAAAAGTCCTTTTTTGTTGCAGCTTTTCCCGATGCAGTCTAGGTGTGGCACAGAGTCCAGCGGATTTCTACTCTCATCCGACCCGTCAGACCTTCAAACCGTCTCCACGGCGCTCAGCTCTTCTGACACCGTCTCTCTCCGTATCTAATGCCTTCTGCCGTCATGCTGACGCATGCTCTTTAGATCCAGCGGTACTCCCACTGTCTCTCTCTCTCCCTCTCTTTCTCTCTACCGCGTTATTATTCCCTGCCACAGGCAATCGCCACGGTCAGCTTCCCGCCTTTTTCTCATTGACGGCACAAATCTCACGCCGACGATGCAGGACCATCTCCCTCCAAAAGCTGCTTTTAGAATCTCACACCTGTATTTTCTTTGTACATCTCTGAGCATGCCAGGATTCTGATCTGGCAGCTGAGCTCTGAAGATGACACCCGGAGGTCTGGTGGGGATTTCTGACACAGCTTTGCCCTAAATGGACCAACTAATTGCACAGTCGATGGCTAATCCCTCGCCATTGTTGTTGTTGTTTTCCCCTCCTCTCCTCTGTTCATTCCCCCAGCCTCTAACCTGCTTTCCACACCCGTCCACTTTTTTTCTTTTTTTTTTTCCATTTCAGCTTTAGCTCAATGATTTGGTGAGTGGCCGCCTCCTCTATTACCGTGGCAACATCAACCAATCCCTGCCACCTCCCTGCTCTGGTGTCCTGCGGTCACAGTGGTCCGGTCGGCGGTGGTCCTCGCAGAGGGAGCCAATGAGGGTGAGGCAGGGAAGAAGACAAGAGGGGAGGAGAGAGAGATGCAAGTGTATGTGTATGTGTGTGGGAAAGGGGGTCCTAATGAGGAGAGTTAATCTTCCCTCAGAGGGAGAAAAACATGGCCATGCGGCTTTGTGTGTGTACTTGTGTGCACACAAGTACACATACAGAGAGGGTATCCAGGCCATCTGGATCCTCACTAAGCGGACATCTGGATGGCGGAGAAAACAGCATGAAAGAACAATGTGCACGTGTAACCCCGCCTGCTGGTCTTCACAGAGATGTGTCATTGAGTTGCACTGCTGCAGTTAGGAAAACCCTGAGCGTATACAGGTAAATTTATTGAAAGAGAAGATCTATAGAGTTGGTGCAAAGGAAATAAGCAAACACTCCTCTGTGTGCTCCAACCTTATGCAATGTTTTAGTGAAATAATAAAAAAAAATAGAAGACAATTTCCTTTATTCCTTCATAAATTGACTTAAATTAAAAAGTAAGAATTCTCTTAAAATGTTTATTGGAACCCATTATTGGGATCTACATAAAAGGTAAAAATTTCAAGGCAAGTCATGGATATTTCCCCTCTCAGTCCAAGTTTTCCTTTATCCGTTCCCAATTCCTGTTCCAAACAATGTTTGTTTGTTTCCCTACTTCCTCAATTCTTCTCCCCTACAAGACTAAACAATACTCAAGTTTTCCCCTTCTTCCTCATATACTAAGTGTTACGGCCGAATCTGCTCTTCTGAGGCTAGAAGTCACAAAAATACAAATTAACTGTCAGACAAAGATATTCACACCTACACATGGGAAGACAAGCATTCATGTGCAAAACTGAAAGCACAGTCTCAATTGTTGGTTCTTAAGCATATAGATAAGATAAAAATTATCTGAATGATCTTTCTAAGTTCGAGGTTCGAAAATTACATCTCAAATACAAAACTTGAGATGTACCTGATTGAATACACACTCTAAGTGTGTACACACTTTATTAAATAATCATCAGTGTAAATACCTCTATGAAAAGTGGAAGTATTTGTAGTTTGCTGCTCTGGAGAATGCAATGTCAACCATATAAAAGGAATTGCTGCTTGCCATCATTTTCAGAAAGGTTATAAAAATATTTCCAAGTAACTTAAACGTCATCATTCTGCAGTGAAGAAAAAATCTTACCAGGAATAAAGAGTGTAGGAGGAGTGGACTTCTGAGTAAATTTGCCCAATTAAGACAAAGAGACGTTTAGACATTCAAGACCTCAATCACAGACTCGACAACTCTCAGCACGTCAAGTAGAATTTTTTTTCCATTAAAAGCTTTTCTTATGTAAATTTGTCTCCATCAAAAGAATTTAATTTCTAAAACCACGTTTCCCAAATTCTGCTTCAGAAACCTGGAAAACCACTTGGGGGGGGGGGGGGGGGCCCACAAAAAATTGGGGGCCCCCTCTAGCTCTCAACCTTTGACCCTACCAGATCAAACTTTTGCCAGGGGAGGCTGAAAGCAAGCCTGTTAAAACATGTAAACGCCTTCTCTCGCTCCATGATGGAGTGCTGCGAGAAGCCCACCAGACAGGCTGTGGGTGTAATAACACACCGTTACCAGCCCAAATATCACAAGATGTCTAAATCCCCACCGACAAATGGCCGCTCAGAGTCCCAGAAGCCCCGAGTCCTGGGGCTTCCTGTCTCTTTATGGCTGTAAGTGGGTAGACCTCAAGCTCTGGGGGCAGAGGTAAGCTGTTATCCAGAAGCTGGGGGGAGGATGAGGGGTGTCTGCTGATGTGAACTTTGTAAGGTGGAAATTCAATCAGGGTTATAAATTAAGTTGAGTAAGATAACATTTTGTATCAAATAGAAATACACAAAAGACTATTTAACTTTCATGAGAAAATATATTTTCATAATGCCCCTTTAAAAAGGTTTTCAAAATCCTTGTTATGAAGAGACGGACCTTCTGAAATCCTTCAACTATAAAATGTAAATCGGCTTTTGATGAAACCAACAATGACAGGAAAACCGAAATTTAAACCTGTCAAATAATTATTGTAAAAAAAAAAAAAAAAAAAAAAGTTTGCCACAAACTACAACTCATAGCTACCTTGGCAACTAAGGACCCTTAAAGACTCGTAAAGAAATTGACTGGTGACTAATCATGAATGTACGATCGTTTAAAGAAAAAAACATTTCTTTCTGATCAGTGAATGCCCCAACAACTAAGCTCCAAGAAGTTAATTTGGCAAGACTCAGTGTGGACGCCAACCTGCATCCACTTTAGCTATTTTTAGTATCAATAAGCTGTTCAAAAAAAAGAAGTCCCATAAGGTAAAAGAAGATTCTAAAATAAAATAACCCCTTTTACTTCACAGGCATGGCATCGATGGTCCTTTAAGACAGTGTTTCCCAACCCTGGTCCTCAAGGCACACTGCCCTGCATGTTTTAGAAATTTCCCTGCTTTAATGCACCTCATTCAGCTGATTGCAGTTTAGTAAATGCCTCCTAATTGAAATCACCTATGCTGAAGCAAGGAAATACCTAAAACATGCAGGGCAGTGTGCCTTGAAGACCAGGGTTGGGAAACACTGCTTTAAGACCTTTAAGTGGTGAGATTTCAGTGAAAAACAGGAAGTTGAATAAAAATTTCTCAATGGTAGAAGGGTTAATGGCACAATTACCTTACAAAAATAAGATATTGGATTTGAATCCCAGCCTTGGATTTTTCCGTATGAGCCATGTGAGTGTGTTGGGGTTTTAGGGAGGGCTTCTCAGTGGGTAGTACGGCTTCCTTCCTCTGTCTAAAAACAAGAGTTAATGGCTTAATGGGAGTGTGTGTACATTGTTGTTTCTCTGTGTTTCCCCGAGATGAATCGGCAACCTGTACAGGGTGTACTCCGCCTCTAGGCTGACAACCGCTGCAGATGGGCACCAATTTTTCACCAGGATCTTGTCCTGATGATGGGAGAATCCAACCACTGTGCAAAGTCTGGACTTTGCACAGAGGGCAGTCCTCAGATTATAGGACTGCCCTCCATGGCTTGTACAGCAGACACTAGGCATAATGGGTTCATCACTTCATCTGCAACACTTTTTACCCCGATGTGCTCTTCAAGAAGGTAAATATGGATTCAGACTACTTGACTTTCTTTAATTGCTCCAGTGTCAAATCTTTATGCTGCCTTGCAATTTCTAGCCTTTTTCTCCGGTTAGCCTCACTGATTAGGGGTTTTCTTGTGTCTAAACAGCTGTTCAGTCCCAAGCCCTCCAGTTTCCTCTGCATTGTGTGTGGAAATGCTCTTATTTTTACTATTGAACACAGCCAGGAGTTCAACTGTTGTTTTTCTTCAACTTGATGTTAAACTTTTAAGTGTTTGCAGATTGTTACAGACTTTCCTTCCGGTTTTCAATAATCAGTTGGACAATCAAATGTTTTCTCCATCTGAGGTTTAAGAAGCGTCAAATTACTGACATCTCTAACATCTTTCCGCAAACGTGGGACTTTGTCGTTTAAAAAATAAGACGCTAATCGGTGCACTCGTTAGGGTTAAACAACTTGTTGCCCGCTGAACGGTGATCAATCGCCCAACAGTAATTATCCAATAGGATGCTTGCAGATATCCGTTTAATAAATGTAGTACTATGCCAAAATACGTTGCCATACAGATTTAGCTAAATAACACTTAAGGTGGAACTGCTTACATACCTGTTTCTGCACAGAGACCAGACGAAGATTCGGTATGATATGCTCTGGCTCCAGGATCTAAAGCATTGCACTGACACAGAGGCAAGGATTCTTATAGACATGGTAGTAACACCCTCCCACGGCTCCACAACTGTTCCCAGATGTTACATGGCAACATGTTCCTATGAAGCAGTCAATGTGAACCATAGGCGCGCTACAGTTGTACTGAGGTCAGCGTTTCTGGGAAACTACTGACGTAGCAGTGACGTCATATCCCACTAAGGAAGCTGCGTGAGGCAAGAGTTGGGTCAGTGTGGATTGCCAAGCAGTAGCGCTTCATCTTCCTTGGAATCTCTGGATTTCATTCTCAGCTGTACTGGATCGGTCCATATGGATCAATTAAATCCATATTTTCTAAATCCTCTGTATTAAGGCAATCACTAAAGAGTTTCCATATGAAGTTGCTGCCACATCCGCAAAAGTTATGCATAGATATTTCTTGAGTATTTGGGAATTATTACAGGAAGATTCTGTTAAGCTGTGAGGACAGATGAGAACAGGTGTTCACATCTGGTTGAGACTCAGAACCAGAACTGTGTGATTAACATACCAGTTATGGGAGTAATGCAAAGCAGACTGTCACAATGAAGTGTATACCAACTCCAACAAACTAACCGTTACACATTTGAAACAAGGATAAATATGATAGTAAATAACAGAGACCTGCCTAAGTCAAGGCCTCCTCTTGGCTATGGGGTGCAATAAACATCTGCTCAGACCGCACCACATTAAATTGTTATCCTCATTAAAGCTGAGGTCACCAGACAGACAAACAAAAAAGGATCTATTCTAATCCTGAATTAAGCCCTGGAAAAAAAATGTGAACCTGAGGTGTTCACTACAAAGGTACTGCAATTTCTGTGTAGACATAGTATGACTGTCACGGCAACAGTTCCACTTTCAACATTTTCACAGCCTCTTATGATTAATGTTAACCGTCTTCGTGTTTCTGCTATTTATAGGGTACCACAAGTCTAACATAATGATATCGACTTTATTTGGTCGGGCCATCTGCTGTGGTAGCCAGCCAGTTGGTTTCCACGCCAGGACTGGTCATGTTTTTCCTGACCAGAAATATTTCTCCTTTTTTTTCCCCCCCAAGAGAGGGAAAAGAGTAATCATTTGATAATGCCAAGTATGCTAACCGTGCTACTCGGTAACATGTGGTGCTTCAGGCTGTTTACAATGTCTGATCATTGTATTTTTTTTTTAAATAGTGGTAAAACTAAACTTTTAATAATATATAGATATAATGAATCACTGGCCACATGAATTGTTAAACATGGTATGCAGACTCAAAAAGGAGTAAATTGCTGAAAGAACATACCTATAATTAATTAAGCTAAAGTTGTGCAAAACTATATTTGCATTCAAGTAAAAAAAAAATTCTAACAGTTTTGTCCATTATTAATCAGTTAATCCAAAAACATAAACAGGTTAGCACTACAGCGTTTTGATGTTAAGTTAAGCAGAATAGAAGAATAGTTTGATGAGTGCTTTGCTACAAATGACAAAATTTGCAAAGCAATGTCATGTTATTGCGATTTAGGCTATGTTTATATCATTTTTTTTCCAAAGTAATGGAATTATTTGTCATATTTAATTGTATTTCTAATATTGTATAAAACGGGCTTGAATGAAATTTCTGCAGAATGTGCCAGTTTTTTGGGTTTTTTAGATCAGATTCATTGATTGTCAGAAATAATCACCTAAAAACCTCTGATCGGTGTGTCTCTATTCTCTCTTTATATCTCTCATACGGAGCAGCATTCTGTGTCTTTAATAAAGCCTGAATTGAGCTGAATCCAACATTAAGGGGGGTTAAGGTTTAGTGAAAAGTTTGAAATGATAAAAAAAAAGAAATATGGCATCAGCAAGCTCTAAAAAATAATTCCATCATAACCACTAGGCTGACCTTCAGAGATGGTTTAAACTTAATGCCAGCCAGGGGTCAGGGTTGGGGTCAGACAGTGGTAGGCACAGAGTCAGACCTGCTAATAACTCCCCATCTACTCTGTGTCTCAAACCAACTTAGAAACTATTATCCACCACAAATCCTCTCTCATTTCCTTTCACAGAAAGATTGCCACATAAGCCAAATGAGGGCGGTGCAGGCACGCTTTGCAAATCCTCTGTGGACAGAGGTGAGGGTCAGAAACTAAGGGACAACACATCAGAGAGCGTGTGTGTTTGTGTGTATGTAAAAGGGCGTAGGAGACGAGTACACATTCACACCATCTAATCCTAGTCTCATGTTGACTTTCTAGGAAACATGGAAGGGGCACGTGATCGCACATGGCGCTGGCACACTCCGAACCACGCAGGCTAAACAGGTGGGGTTTAAGAAAAAGCCATACAGGGTGTAGGAACATTCACAGGATTAAAGTGGAAATTAAACTGGACAGACCCCTCTCTGCCCCCCTGTCACACTCCCCGTTTCTTAATCTGTGTTTTTGTGACCTGCACACACAAAGACTGAGTATGTATGCAAGTGATCCAAAGTTAAAGTCGGGGGGTTTGAATGAGTGCATGCAGTGGCATTGGAGGGACGACAACCATAAACTACTCCACATTTTACACCTTCAGCGCACACCAGACACCCGACCCTGCTGTCTGGAAACCAGGTCATGCCACAAGTCCGGCCTTCAGTTTGTGCACCATGTAATGTAATAAATGTGTTATATGAAAAGAAAAAAAATATGCTTTGATATTAATACAGTAATACTTGTTTTAAAAATGAGATAAGGCAAATGCAGTCAAAAAATTGGTCCAGAACATTTTGTTTAAGAAATACAAAGTCAGAGTCTGACCATAGTGGGGAAGATGATCGAAAAACTCTTCCTGGGAAGTAGCTGTGCTTACATTACAAATGTGCGCAAAACTCTGTCGATATTCCGTCAATGTTGGAAAAAATATATATATATATTTCACAATTGCTGTGTTTCCATTAAATAAGAAACGCAATAAAAATCACATGTGAATAAGTTGTTAAAAAAAATATGAGGAGCCATGATCCTCCTACCAATTTCTGTCGTCGTCTTTGACGTTTCCACCAGTAGTAACATGCAGTTGTCGAACAAGTGACTTATGATTCGAAAAAAAAAGCACTTCCATTGCAGTTTTGCGAAATAATTTTGATAAAACCTAAAAACTTCCTCATCATAAGGCAAAAACCTTTTATCAAAAAACATCCCTTATTATATATATATTTTTTTTTATTAATGCATTCCCATTAGGAGAATGAAAATGGCATTCTCTTAAATTCAAATTTGTGCAATTTTATGGTGAATGGAAGCACAGCTATTGACCCAATATGAAAGTTTTAGCCTCTATAAAAATGCTTTGTGGAGTAGCAACATGTGAGCTGGCCAGAGCGCGTGCAAAAATGAATGGAAATAAATACACCCAACACAGGAAGATCACCTGGTGAAAGGTAGATGACCAAAAACATACAGCTGGAGCTTCAATGGATTAGTTTGGTTTAACCATTTTTCAAAGAAAAAAAAAAACATAATTTTCTATTGTATATGTGCAAAAATTGTGAAGACATTCTTTAAAAAAAAAAAAAAAGATAGAAACAACTTTTTGGGGGTCTTTTTTTGGGCAGCACCACCAAGGGGAGGCGCTGCCCACACTCTGAAAAGCCCTTGTTTGAGGAGTATGATGAATAGCGCTGCAGCTTAGGCCAAAGCAGTCCATCTGGCAGGTGGGTCAGAAAACGTGAGCTTGTTGGAAGGTAAAATAAGCTCATGAGATAAAGTAGCACCATCTCGATGAACATGCAAACTTCATACAAATGAATTTAACTGAAACTGTGCTTCCTGTCCTGGTGTAATTACTTTTTCCAGCCACATGGGGGCAGTCTAAGAGCACAAAGGAGCAGAAAAATTTGAAGCCTTCAAAAGCAGCTGTAAATAAAATCATTTACATTTGCATCTGAAATGCATGATTGCATTCCAGACGCAATCACGCATCTGAAATGTGTTATTTATGAAACAAACTGAAAAAACTACAAGAAAAACAGGAAGAAGAGAATAAAAATAGCTCATTCCAAAGAAGACTGTGGAAGACAAATTAGAAACTCATAAAACTATTTTTTGTAGAGCTGAAGAAATGTAGCTGAGAGGGAAAGAACTGCAGAAAATTTCCCAAAAGTAAACCAAGTTAGGTGTTAATGATCTTATCTTGCACTGATGTCAAGTCTATTTTCAGAAAAGGCTCCCTGAGGACCAATGGCAATGTGCCATTTCAAACAATTTTCCAATGAAAATTTTTTTCTTTTTTTTAAATCCAGTATCTAGAATCTCTAAGCATGTGTGCAATTTTAACCTCTTAACACTTTCTTAACCCAAACATTATTAGAGTTTCTGTTTTACTGGAGCTGCATGAAGTGAACACAGGAGACGGTCAGCGTGCTGTCAGTTTGTGCAGACCCGCCAAAATAATGGTGTCATCATCCTCTACTCTGTGTGTGTGTGTGTGTGTGTGTGTGTGTGTGTGTGTGTGTGTGTGTGTGTGTGTGTGTGTGTGTAGTCAATGTGTAAACTGCTCTTCCGGTCCAAGAGAGTGCAGATGAGATAAAAGCAATCACACAGGTTATGTCCTGAGGCGCTGACTGCATGCAGTAGAGCTGCTGAACACATTGTGTTGGAAACAAAATGGCGGTATTAAATTGTGCAATACTGCAAACGCAAAGGGCTGCATTTGGAAATGTTGCATTATAATCTTACAGTATATTATTATTATTACTACTGTTGGTTTTGTTAATCTTATTTTTCATACATTTTTGGAACTTTTTTTGTATAAACCTACATATCAGGAAAATAAAGGTTATTTCTGTTCTATTTCTATTCAGTCATTTTTGTCTTTACGGGAGTAAAATTCTGTTCCTTCTGCCTTTATTCTGAAGGGCTGTGGTACATCCTGGAATATCCTTTTAAAGGAAAACTAAAATAGCAAAATGTTTCTTTACAGAATGTTTTCTCTTAAAGCTGTAGCATGTAACTTTTATTAAAAAAATGATTTTTGCTGTTGCTGTCTGAGGAAATGGACCGCTCGTGGTCAAAAACAGCCTATCAGAGCCAGGGGGAGGGTCTTACTGCTGCCAATCAACCTCGTGAAAGCGCCATGCCATCATGACAGTTTCAATAAGTATGTAAAAAATATATATATATATATATATATATATTTTTTTTTTTTTTTTTTTTTTTTTTTTAAAAAAATTTACCCACTCCACTTTTAAAACCACCCCCCTCCCCCAAACCCTCTTTTCCCAAAAACCGGA